GGACCCTTACAATTGGAGGTGTGCCTTTGGGGTATATATTTTGTCTTTGTTGAGTAGAACTCTCTCTCTGCTTCTTGGTGGCCATGTCCTGCGCCACTGTCCTCCTTTCGCACTCTTTCTCCATGATGTTCTGCCTTACCTCAGGCACAGAGCTATTGATGGACTGAGACCTCTGAAACTGTGAGACACAAATAAACTTTTCCTCCACTAATTGTTCTTGTCAGTCTCTTGGTTATAGCAGTGAAAAAGCAGAATAAAACACTCATCATATTTCTGAACACAGACAGATTTCTTCACTGTTTTATAACAAAGAGATGAGGAACAATGTCCAACCTCGGCCTTGCATCTTGTAGGTGTGGGCCTGCAAATTTACAGACTGTGTTCTCTTGTGAAACATCTGGAGACAGATCTTTTGTGCTCTGAATAAGCATATTGGGCTTTCAAATCTTGAGCCTTAGAGAGAGTGCTTTTGACTTTACAATTCAAGTTTATACACTAAGGATGCTTCTGTCCTTTCCATCCATCCCTTTTGAATTTTCCATACAAAAGGTTTTCAGCAACATGAGTGGATCAATGAGAAAATCACAACTTTTTCATATCCACGTTCATGCAGCTATAGACAGATGCTTAAATGATTTCATCTAGAATATCAATGAAGAAAATAGCCTAGTAATTCCTGTTGTTTTGATTCGATTTCTGCTTTTATTATTGTTTCATCTGGCAGCATGGCCTAGATTAAACCATGAATTAGATAGGCCTGTGAAGCTATGCAGCAGTAATAACTCTGAATCTTAGTGATTCGTATCAAGAAGGATTTATTTCTCAATCAAGTTTTATGCTTTTGGGAGTTTGTGTCTGTCCCCCACAGATTTTTTTGATTCTTTACACTGAAAAACTATCCTCATCTGGTGTATGGTTTGCTTGCAGCAGAAGGAAATCAGCAGTGCTGGGCCAGGTGGTCAGAACCTCTCCAGTTACGACTCACGCTAGTTCTGCTCACATGCTCGTGGCCAGGGGGAGTCAAAAAGCCAAGTCTGATGACATCAAGAGAGAATTACACTTTTCCAGGGAGGGTGACCAGGGGTCCCACAGGGATAGGCCCACTAGAGAAGGCCACTGAATGTTATGGGAAAAACACTGCAGGCTAGCGCAATCTACTTCCAGGGTGGGAAACTTTGGTGACAAAATTAAGTGGACCTCAGGAACAAATGACCATTTAATAGAACTGACCAAAATTCTGTCAAATATATTAGTATTTCTGTACATGTGATTTGAACAAACTGTAATTCAGGATTTTTTTTTTCATATCTTCATACATGTTGACGCCAATTCGTGTCTTCATACCTGTACTTTGGATAATGATGTCCATCACATTCCACCAACATTTCTAACCCCATACCCCCTCCCTTCCCTTCCCACCCCTCTGCCCTATCTAGAGTTCGTCTGTTCCTCCCATGCTCCCTCTCCCTACACCACTATGAATCAGGCTCCTTATTGTCAGAGAAAACATTCGGCATTTGGTTTTTAGGGATTGGCTAACTTCACTTAGCATTATCTCCTCCAACTCCATCCATTTACCTGAAAATGCCATGATTTTATTCTCTTTTATTGTGGAGTAAAATTCCATTGTGTATATATGCCACATTTTTTTTTTATCCATTCATCTGTTGAAGGGCACCTAGGTTGGCTCCACAGTTTAGCTATTGTGGATTGTGCTGCTGTAAACATTGATGTGGCTGTGTCCCTGTAGTATGCTGATTTTAAGTCCTTTGGCTAAAGACTGAGGAGTGGGATAGCTGTGTCAAAGGGTGGTTTCATTCCTAATTTTCCAAGGAATCTCCATACTGCTTTCCATATTGGCTGCACCAATTTGCAGTGTAATTTGGGATTTTTAGATGTACATCAATGGACAAATAGATATAGAAAATGTTCTTTTATACACAATGGAGTTTTATTCAGCCATAAAGAAAAATGAAATTATGTTATTTGTGGAAAAAATGGATGGAACTGGAGAACATTACGTTAAGTAAAATAAACCAGACCCAGAAACTCAAAAGTCATGTGTTTTTCCTCCAAATATAGTCATGCCCTGATGTACTGGGGGTTATGACTTCATTACATAAATTTTGTGAGGAACTCCATTTAACCCATGACAATGCAGCCACAGTGCTTTGACAAGTCACTCAATATTCTTGGACTTGGTCTCTTTTAGTTTTGAAAATCATATCATTTCCATTGTTCCTAAAAACCTTGTTTAACTAAACATCTTTAATTTCTTCATACGTTATTAATCTTTTGCAATTTATTCTCTAGAATAATATTCTGTTGAATGTCACCATTATTTATGCACCTGATGAAAACTGGATCTTTGGAGCCATTGTGGATTCTTCCCTTTTCCTCTACCCCTGATCCAGCCAAGCACCTCTACCTGCTGAATGTCTCTTGTGATTTTTGCCTTCTCTTTCTTCTCTGGAGCATATTGGTCTCCTTGCCCTTTCCTCTGTTTTCAGTCACAAATCCCACCAGTTGATCCTCTGTATAGCCATAGTAGTGAATATGGTGGGATTATTTCCTTCTCAGTTGGTAGTCAGTTAACTTGCGTCAATTTTAGGACCTGCGTACTCCTCAAGTCTCAGTTCTCACCCAAATTTGCTTGTATTCCCCCAGCCTCCATCAGTTTTCATTCCTGAACCTGCTTGTGGTCTCGGTGGTTGGACACATAATTTTTCCATTTGTCTGAAGTGGCTTTTCTCTGAAATATTTGTTCTGTAATATTTGTCAGTTTTTTGCAGCTGACGTAGTTTTTCTCATGGAAGGCATATTGTAGTCTGCTCAGGCACTGTAACAAAATACCATGGGCTACGTGGTGTAAAAAACAGTAATTGATTTCCTTGTATTTCTGGAGTCTGGAAATTCAAGGTCATGGTGCTGACTGTGGCTCTTTCCTCTGAGGCCTCGTTTCCAGCTCACTGATGTTCACCTTCTTACTGCATCTCCACATGGTCTTTCTTCTATGCAAACTCCTAGTGTCTTTTTCTTGTTTTATAAGAACACTGGTAAAACTGAATTAAAGCCCCACCCTTACAACTAATTTAATCTTAATTATATCATGATAACCTCCATCTTTGAATAGTCATTGCAGGATTAGGACTTCACCCATGAATTTGGGGGGAACTCTTCAGTTCATATACAGGGTCTCCTCTACCTTCCTGGGGTGGGCTTCCCCAAACCCATACAAACCCTCATTATCTAACTGGCTTTTAGCTATTGTGTTGCTATTTCTACCAAATCATAAACACCTTAAGAGCCTGAGTTTCTTGCTTTCATCCTTAAAACTTAGTGCACGTTTGTTAAATGAATGTAATACAGAACAGCTTAGTAACAAGGAAGAAATAAAATATTGATTTGTTGAATTGTTGTTTCTACTGAGATTTTTCTAAATATGTAACTTCACTTATTTGATCTGAAAATCC